ACCGCAATAATTTCACCGTGAACTTTTGAAAATATGTATTTGTACGAATTTAGGTAAACCTTATGTATTGGTTTTCTGAGGTTAAACATGAGTTGTAGAAGGTGCTGCCATGCACGAAATGTTAATAGGCCTGAAACGTTACCGACATAATCGAACAACATTACACCTACACTTGAAACCCGCATAATATTTGTTGTCTTGAATTATGTTCATAATTTTGTAACGATGGCGAGCATAATTTTTCGCACTGGTAACCAGGCGTCGTATTGTTTTGCGGCTGCTTACTCGGTCGATAGGCTATTCATGCTTTTTTTTGTTTTTATCCAATTTCAGTTTCTTGGTTACGGCATACTTCCAATGCGCGAGATGTACGACCGTGATGAGATCTGTGAAGTCCTTCGACATTGGGCAACAACTGTAGTAGAGAAAGTCGCGCGTTTTGCCAAAGAAGCGCTACCCGATTTCCGCGCCCTTCAACTCGGTGACCAAGTGACGCTGCTAAAATATGCAGCGTTTGAAATCTACCTTATCATGGCCTCATCGAGGTACACAGCGGATGGGTTGTGGTTCCCGGAACATGGTGTATTCATAAAGAGAGAAACGCTAGACGCTTTGCAGATACAGAATCTGTTTGAATCCAAGTTCAAATTCTACGACAAAATCAACCGGATGTATCTGACTGAACGTGAGGTGGCGCTGTTCTGTGCATTGTCACTGGCTTCTCCAGGTAGATTTGCATTGCATTTAAATGAATACTTGCACTTGGCAAAGGAGTTGTGCTTTTGTTTTCTTGTGAAATCGCCAAATTATCGTCCAATGTTTTTGTTTGGTGTTAGTCGCATTTTTATCTCACAAACAGATTTAGAAAATATAATGTGAATTTTTAATTTTACAAACGTCACAATCACGCAATGCGCTCGATTTTCCAGTTAACAATGTACTTTACTCGCCGCTGTGTGTTGACAAACATTGATTTTCCCACAATCCAGTGCGCTCTTCTAATGAAAATCACAAGTATGAGGTTTGACCTGGGCGCGACTTGCAATAATTACAGCCCGTGACTTCTTCAATACCTTCCAATCACCTAAAAAATACCTAATTATAGCTTCGCAACATCTCAGTTTGTACCTGTTGATCTGCGCAGTCAAAGTCGCCATCTTTGTTTATACGAGACACATATATCTCGCACATGCGTAGCGCAACGACTACCGCCCCTTAAGTAAATTGAAACGACCCAATTAATTTTACAGGAGTAGTGAAATAAAATGATCAAGAAAACCGATATAACTCTTTATCAATTTTCCTTGGACATCCCCTTGAAAGATTCTTAGCAGCGATTGTTACGTTTTTGCATTCTTTTTTTTTTAATATTTGTTGTGCCAGGCTACAGTTTTGGACATTGAGTATCACTGTTGTCTCTCCTGACACTTTTTTGTATGTGCAAATTGCAAGTGCTGACACATAGTGTAGAAGTAATTCCCTATTTGGGACTACATGAGAGGGCTGTGTGGCCATCTCTCTGTCAAGTGGCATTTTTAATGCGCTATCCTGGCGTCAATCAGGCTCGGTCAAACACAAGCACCTGCGGACCTTAACCAATGGTCCCCCAAAGTCGCATTCGTTAGTGAATGAATCTCGGCCAGTAGAATTGGCCTTCCCATTGAGTCTGTGGCGCACTCACCCAGGGTAGGGGTCGACCCTTTGATGTTCAGCCTAAGGTAGGATTTGAACTTGGGTCTACCGATCATGAGTCTGATGCGACAATCACTATGCTACCAGTGACCGTCTTTACATTCAACAGTTGCATTTTTTAAATATATAAAGTCCCGATATATTTGATGAGGGTGCTCGAAATTGAAATTGAAATTTGCGCTTGCGTTCCCGTGATTCATCCTATTCAAGTGTAATACGCTATCAGGATTTAAAAAATTGCCATTTTAATTTTCCATGCAATTTATTCGCTCGGTCTTCGCAGGGAAAACACCCACTCTCAGTTTAAGTAAATAAAACAGTCACCACTGTTCGTGCTTCTGTTACGTATTGACCATGCCTACTCACACTGACCACACAGTGGGAGGGGGTTCGACTGGAGCACATAATTAGCACATTATTTTGTTTTACTTTACTTTACTTCACTTAGTTTTGTTTGCTTTCCACTTACCCCTGTAACGCGAATTGTTCAATGTGGCCTGATCACCAACACCGACACAAACTCTGACTATGTTTCCACATCATTATTTTCAGACAGGGAAGACCTTAGTGATCGCACCAAAGTCGAGAATTTCCAGGAGTACTTGGTAGAATGTCTGCAAATGGAACTGAAACAAAACCACCCTGACAATCCGATGATGTTGCCACGTGTTGTCGCCAGGCTGGTGGAAATGCGACAGTTGATGCCTGAACACGTGCAATCGTTACAAAACCAGCCACCGGGTGCAATGGTACCGACGCCATTACTTCGGGAAATATTCGGACTTTCGAACACGGTGTGACAAAAACAAGTGATCCGTTGAAGTAATCTGTCCATTCGTAGTCAAGAACAACTGACTATACTTGATGTTGTAGCAGACTATAAGAAATGAATTGAAATTGCATTTTATAATGTTTGTTGAATTTTATGGTATAACATATCTAGAGAGTACAAGACTGGACAAGAAAAGTCAAATTATCGCAGTGCTGATAGCTCATTTTGATTTCAAGCAACCTAATATTATATTGGCACCACAGAGCCGAAAACAAAGATTTTCGAGGGGAAATTGTTACACACCAATCCTTTTGTCGCTTACTATAGTGGCATTTGGGTACAAATTTTGTACAAGCGGGTTACGCGATTTGACCGACAAATAATATATATTTTAGTTTCTCATTACGATTGCTTCCAAACAAAGAAAATGAAAACCTTAAAATGCACGTTTTAAATGAAAAGAAATGAAGCTAAAAAAAAACATTATCAAGCTTGGTTACGAAAATTTTACCAACCTTACAAGAACACGCACAAATGCATGGTTAAACTGTATCGCGTGGAGAGGAAGACATAACACGTTTCCGTTGATCACATGATGCTGCATTTAATCACGTGATTGGTTTTGCCAAGAGATAGCACGGTTAATCACGTGAGATTGTTTCTGTAGCATATTTCAATGTAGTAGAACTCACACGGCATCTTAGCCCAAATAAAACGAATTATGTTATGTATAACACAGATACAATGTTACGAATACGTAAATAATAACTGTCTAAAGCAAATAAAATTAAGATATTTTTTCTCAATTTTTAAATTTATACTTGATAAGTTTTATGTTCAATGACTGTAAATATTCCAAACTATGTACATATTTGTTCATTCTTAGACGAAATAATTAAAAAGTGACAAACAACAACAAATGTGTTGTGTACATTGGTTCTTGATGACCTAACAGGGTAAGACGTAGACAGATAAATGAAATAACCAACCACCAATTTACCAGGGATGTAATGTTGACAATAGTTTGAAGCTGTGGTAAAGTGGTAGTTAGTAATCGTTGTAATAATTCAATATAACCAGACAATTCTGATTCTGGCAATAGCCCCCTAAATATAAACGTCTGAATGATAAGAATGCCAATCGCCAAATACAAGGATTTACATTGGGTTAATATACAGTCACAACGACCATAATTGGCTTCAATTACAAGGGATATTGCTGTTTTTTGGTTTTATTGACACTGGTCAATCACAATGCTTGCTTTGTTTTTTGATCATTCAAAAATATAATGCACTGAACCATTCACATGGAATTTAATTAGGCATATGATTGAATTCCGCCTGTGACCAATCAAAGGTTATTATTGAATTGGCTATACACTCGGGAACTAAAATATATCACACATGGCACTGAATTTCATTTGAAGATTGGATTGTCAATTTACTAATCTCAAGTAACAGAATTGTGTTTTTCACCAATCACAAAGAATTTGATTTGACCATTAACGAATCACAGACGATTGGATGGCCATGCTTTCACCAATCCCAAGTAACTAAATCATGCTATTCACCAGTCACAGGGAATTGAACGTGTCCATTGACGAATCAAAATAGATTGGATTGGCCAAACAGTAAGCTCAAATAACTGGTCCCTGGTGTTCAGCATTTGGTTATTGTTCAATCACAGGCAACTGAATTGGTCATTCACTAATCTCAAATATTATTCATACGTAACTGAATTTGTCTACTGATGAATCACACGAGTTCATACACTCAACTCAAATGACTAAATTGTATTTTTCACTAATTACAAGGGTTGGAATTTGTCCATTGACGAATCAAGAGATTGGAATATTCATGGACTAACGAAATCACATTTTCCCCCATACACAAGGGTTTAAATTTGGCAATTGTTTAATGACAGACAATTAGATTGGCTTTTCACTAAACCCATGTAACTGAATCGTGTTGTTCACCAATTGCAAACCAATCATTAACAAATCACAGGTGATCGGATTTGTCATGCACCAATCTGAAGGATAATATTTAGCAAACACAGTGCATTGAATTTGGCCATTCATTTAACTAATCTCAAGTGTTTGAATATGGCCATTGACGAATCAAGAGATTAGATTGTCCATACACAGAGTAGCATAATTCACCAAGCATAAGATATTAAACTCGGTCATTGTCCAATCACAGGTTATTGGATTAGGTAACCACTAAAAATTTAATTTAATAATTTTCTATTCAAAAGAGATTGGATTGACCATTAACCATTCTTAGATCATATCACTCCGAATGTATTTAATTTAGTACTTGACCACTCACGGAAGATTGGATTGGCCATACACAAAGGTCAAGGGACTGAATTTTGTTATTCACCAATACATAGAATTTGTAATCGCATATTCTCCATGATTACATAAACAGACAAATGGAAATCAAGTTTTGAGCTCACTCACAACAAAGAAACTCAATAGTAAAAATTATTGAATTTTATTAGAATTCTGCAGACATACAATGACTAAAATACAGTCCTCACTTTACAAGTCAATAAAATAAACGAGTATAAAGAGCTCCTCTATAATCACAATATATATGTACAATGATTGTTGGATTATTGTAATTGTATTGGATACTTCTTTGGAGAGGTGCCTGGATACAGAAGCAGAAACATGTCCAAAAAAACACCACTGAGAATCAAGATATGCTACAGTTCACTTCATATACAGTAATAAGCAACAAGATAAAGGTATGGTACAGTACAAAGATATAATCTGAAACAGGCAGTTCATCAAGCTTATGATAATTATGTTTAAGCATACAAAATGGGTTCATAAGAGTAGGGTAAAACATTTTGAGCTTTTTCATTTTTCAAAACACTGTCTTACACGACAATATTAAAACTATGTTACTGGTATAAACATTTTAAAAAATAAATTTCTCTTACAGCACTCTCTCTTTCTCTCTTTAAGACAAAAAAAAAAACAATTTGAAAACAAAATCGCCTAAGATCAACATCTTATCAATATTAGGTTTACAAACACATGAGTTTCAATGAGATTTCCATTACTCATTCATTCATTAAAATTTCATTAAAAACAAAGATTTATGGTTAATATAATAACTGTCAAGTCAAGTATACAGCATATGAGGTAAAAAGTGTGTAGTAATTCCATGAAACTAGAAGTTTATGTCACAGGTAGCCAGGTGATTACACACTCTAATTAATGCGCAATTTTAGCTTAATTGGTAAATTTGCTATACATTTGTAGATTTGAGCTAATAACAGTCATTTGTACAGAAAGCATATTTGTGAATATTTTATATTATAATACAATAAAATACAAGGGTATTAGAAAAACAGCCTTTGAAAATATAATGCTGGTAGTTATAACATATTATTTGTGTGCAGTAATATGTCATAGTGTGAACTTTAACCTGGCTCTAGAAAGGAAAATAGCAAAATTTACTGCTAGATTAATTTGAAAGACAAGAAATTATTTGTAAGAAAAAAAAATATGTATCACAAGAAAAGTCGGTTTGTTCCAATACTGAAAATATTAATACTAAGGTTCAACAGGGAAAAAAACTCTAGAAATATTCTTCTGGATATCCGACTAAAAAAAGAAAAAAAATGTACAAAATACTGACACACAGTACAAAAAATAACCACTACAGCTCCTGACCAGCTGTCAGCTTGCAAAAAAAAGCACGACTTCAATAATAAAATACTGTATCATTAATCTGAATATATGATTTCATTGATTTTATAATGTGATTACAGCAGATTTTAATTGTGTGTCTGAATCGATTTGAAATCAGATATTATTTATATTCAATTATTATCAAGATCGAAAACTAAAGTTATCACAGATGCAAGTAACTGGTATTGGACAGGACTAATGAACATTAATTGTACTTGCACAGATAATTTTTCTAGTGAAACATGAATTGTGTAATAACTAATATTACAAATCAATCTAGACACTGTTATGAAATCTACTGTATTTTTGTTCTTATGTGATTATATATCAATGAATCAGATATCTCAAAGATACATGTATGTCTTGATACATGTACACATGTAGCACCCATCATTTGAGAAGACTTTTAGAAAAAACTTTCAGTGCTTTGGTTTAATAGTTCATGATGCAAATGAAGCAACATTATGTGGCAAAGTTAATTAGTGCTTGTGTTTAGGTTGCAATAATATTACAGAGAAACAACTTAAACAAGCAGCCTCTCGGCTGAGATAGCTCCGCTCTTAGCAATGCACATTTCAATTAAAGAACAGAAGATATCATTAGAAAATGAACAATATGCATAGTATCAATGCAACGGGACTTGCTGTTTTCAACAAGAATTCAAAAATATCATTTTTCACCATAAATGATTGTGGTTTTTAACAAGAAGAAAATATCACTTTTACCAAAAATGACAAAAATATTCACCAAAATTAGAGAATTGAAGATATGATCATGAAATGAAAAAAATCTGAGAGAGGTCTACCCAAGGTACATATACACTAAGTATCAAAGCATTCAGGCTAGTAGTTTTCAAGAAGAATTCGAAAAAGTAAAACATTGACACGGTCGCCGGACGCCGGACAATCACTCATATGATAAGCTCCGCTCGACAAAGTCAACAGCGGAGCTAAAAATGTCAATGAAAAAATGTTTTTTTCAAATGCATGCATGTACTTCTTCAGGAGGAATGCCTCTAATTATGAACATCTGTATAAATATGTAGCCTGTCAATGTTGGACTTGTGAAATCTGTGTTTAATACATACATGTAACAGGTGATGGATTATGAAGTTTTCTCACAGACAGACTAAATTCATAAATGAATATAAACGTAACACTTTAAAATTATGCAAAAGTTTGTTACACTGAATTTCATGAAAGCAATTTTTTACAGATATTAAGTATTTACAAAACATTTACCCAGGAAGACCCTCAAGCAACATTCAGATTCAAATCTTTGGTTACAGAAGATATATTTGCTAACACCCATTATCCTCAAGTCTTTGCGAGTTGTCTTCAATTGTTTACAGCTTTACTGCCATTCATCCTTGATTGTGATTGGTTTATAAAACATTAGCAAATATTCTACATGAAGACATTCAGGCTTTTAATGAATTCACTGTATATTTCTGCAATTCTTAGATATAATATACTTCTGGGCTAATCAGATTATCTAATTGTATTGAGTTTTATGCACAGAGGTATATCTATTGATGGAGAGATGGAAGCAGCGCCATTCATGAAGTGATTGAAATGAAAATCCTGTGACGAATGTGGACTTAGTCAACTTAGATTGTTTATTTTTGACAGAACAAACTTTTCTTATTCATTTATGTTTCGTTTTTTTTTTTTTTAAATGTACATATAATACGATGTACTTTAGCTATGTGTTGTATTGTGGATGATCATTTATTGTTGATGAATGCAATTATTCCCACCAGCATTTTGTAAATTTTTTTGTATTTTCAAAATCTCTTTGAAATTTTTTTAACCAACATGATCATTTTCGCATCGTCTACAGGACTTGATGAAATATGTTCACAAATGTTATGCAAGATTATTTTGTAAAAGAAGACAAAAGTTGATGTAGGTGTTAAAAGGTAAAAAATTAAAAATGACTGTAAATGCTATAAGGTGTTTATCAGGACAAGACCAGCTGAAGACAAAAATTAAAAAAGTTAGCAAGAAATATATGTAGTAAAAAAATGTTTTGGTCAGCTTTGAGTGTTTTAATTTCTGGCACAGCAAAGGAATGAAAACATGGGTGTAGATATCTCATTGGCTTAATAGTGTTGATCTCATGTGGACAATCCAAAGACTTCGCGCATAAGCGGGCTAGGCTCAGAAAGAATGCTGGCGTCATGCGACACAAGGAGGTATTTCTTGACATGCTGAATGTGTTCGGGAACTAACTGGCGTAAAGCAACCAGGCGACTGATGATTCCTGGAAAAAGGATATGGTGGCTGCCAGGGTGGTTCTGGCGAAGTTCTTGTTGCAGAGCCTCTACGACTTGTTCCTGAACTTGTTCCACAGAATCTTTGGCATCAAGGTCCTCTCGATCTGAAAGTAGTGAAATCAGATTTATTTTCCAATCATGTACACGACTCATGCTGGAAACTGAAACATACACAATGGAATCTAACCAATTTGCTGCTGAACATGTGAGTTTTGAAAATGCAGGGAAAAATAATTGGAGAGATTTAAACTGAATATGTACAACTTTAATGAGGTTGGATTTTGCAAGCCAGTATTATAGTACTCAGCAAATCAGTTAATGAATTTTTGTAAATGGTTAGCTAAAGATTAAAATTTGACTAATTGAAATCGAACGTTTTCATGTCTTTTTTCAATATACCCAGAAGCGATATACATGTTTGTCTTTCAAAGTATGGGTCCTTGTTTATTTCAAGGGACAATTAGTACTCGTTAACAAGGATTTCTGATCTTATCTCATTTAATATTTTCATTATGTCTTGATACTAGTATAAGCTTTTCGTTATTTTGTGGAAATATCAACATTTTCCTATGAATTTTCATGAATATTAGGAATGGAAGGTGAAAAAGATTTATACAGAATTAACTAACCTGGTGAAACAATTAACAATGCACAAAACAAAGCAAGTTCTCTTTCTGTTAGATTCAGTCGGCTCATCTTCTCAAAAAAATTTAATTTAGATTCATAAAATTCTTGAACATCCATGTTTGTATGCATAATTGTGTCCTTTTTAATATACACGCCATCTTCCGGAAACCACAGACCGTCAGCCGTGTAGCGCGTAGAGGATATTACTAGTACTATTTCAAAAGCAGAGTATTTCAAAAGTGTTACTTGGTCACCCAAATCCAAGGCACGAAACTGCGGCAACGCAGACTTGGCAAACTTAGCAACTTGTTCCACATTGTTGTTAGTGACCTTGGCAAGCGTTGAACCGATTTCTATTTGATCAATCATTTCCCGCATTGGTCGACAATTGAATGCAGCTTGCTCCTGCAAGACAAGAATGAATGAAATTAGTTCATCAACCTGTCTCGGCCAATTTTATTCATTTTCAACAAATTGTAGTCTTGTCTATTACCCTTTTGTTTGTACCATCCAGTGTTGTTTACCCATGATGCAATTTTTAATGCCAAAGTTTATCCATGATGTGCTACTGAAAACTGATCTACACTAACTAGACCAAACAAACTGGCATTGCTGTAATAGTCATCACACACAAACTAAAATTCACTTTTTGAACCTGTGGAGATT